ATGCGCCATTCAGCAAAACCTCTCGCACACTACTGCACTCACAAACCGCCGCCCTTTTTCCTTATCAGCTTTGTGGCGCGTGTCATCCTTCTAGACCCAATACCTATCCATCGGCTACTTGGACCAGGAAAAGACCAACCGTGTGGAACTAGTCAGATAATAGCTACATGTCTATGTATGCAGAAAAACGCAATATCTTGGTATCTTCTAACAAACTGCCAATAACTCAGACCTTGCAAATACACCCGATTTGGTGTGCCTCGCTCATCAAACAAACAAACAAAAGAAAACGGCATATTAGTATGTCCTCTGTCCTGCCCTTGCTCATGCTTTTGAACTGCCCGTCGGGGCCTCGTTTTCTTCCTCTAATATCCTGTCTGGTGTCGTTTGCTTGCTACTGCTCACTGACACGTCCTTGCCACTTTTACTCTTGCTTCGCAGCCTTCCCCAACTCACCGTCCTCCTCCTGTTCTTCTCCGGTCCTTTGACTTCGTGACTCCACCTTCTCCTGACTGGCGGTCTTGTCGAATCCAAGCCTATCAAACTGCGGATCTCCGACACTTCGGCGTGACCCCGAGTTGTCTTCATCCTGTGTGCCCATGTGCATTCGCCATTCTCAAACAAGAACTCGCCGCCAACCTGCTTGAAGTCACCGCCCTTGAGCGCCTTCCTGCCCGTGCTGAGGCCCTGGAATATAGACTGTACCGAGTTGATGAGAACGTTGGTCTGCATGTATTGGGGCTTGGCGCCTAGGTTCAGGGTGCGCGTCATGCCTAGGTGGTCGTAGAGCTTGCGCGTTGGATCCGCGTAGATGGGGAAAGGACACCCCGTCGTTTCGGTATACATGGGTATCAGCTCGGGCCGCCCACATCCAATAACCGTGATGAAGGTCGGCGTGGGTAGGGCGAGTAGGTCGTCGGGCGTTATCGATGAGGCAAGCGTGCGCAAGTATTCCTGGCAGTTCTGCGAAGTGTTAGCCAAGTCAAAGGTAACGTTGAATTGAGATAGTGTTGCAGCTACTTACGCCGCAGAAGAAATGTCGAATGAAGATGATGAGCTGCCTCGAAGCGACATGGGGCGCCTGATAGAGTTCCTTGAACGGCCTGCTTTGGCCCTGCGCATCCAGAACCAGCATGTCTGCTACCGCACTCAGCTCCTTCTCCGTTGGTATGTCATTGTTCACGTCGAGTGTGCCCTCGAACTCCTCCTGCTCCCCACCCAACACAGGCGTTTGGCTCGATGGCGAGAATGGTGGTGTGGTATTTTCTGCGACGTCCATTGAGGGCTTGGCATATGCTCCATGTCCAGATTGCGAATGTGGTGGTGAGGGCACCTGTGTTGCGGGTGGTTGTGGCGTAGACGTCATAATGGGTGGAGGGACGGGGGCAGTTGCTTTGGCTTCTGAGGTCTCCATGTTGATTGTAGTAGAAAAAGAAGAGGACGAGGAGTCAAAATAGAAAGTCGACGGCGCAGCTGTGGTAGTTGCGTAGCTGATCAGTGTCCGGAAGCCAGCTGATCCGGAGCTAGAGGGCGTCGGCAGGGGGCGTGGTGCTCTATATACAAAGATTGAATGTCCAAGGTTTATGGCGAACAAGCAGGTGTTTAAAGGGAGGCCTACTAGCAAGCGATTTTATTTATTCATTGGCCATGCGAAACACGGCCACATATGCGACACGGTTCGAGACGCTCGATGCAGGTACACGCAACGACGTCAGCGGCTGTTGCAGCTTGCTATTGGTGCCCGCCGGGGTGCTGGTCTTGTGCGCATCGGGAATAGCGCCATTTGGTGTGGCAGTTGTGTGCATTCGTCCACTCCCCGGGCCACTTATCCAACAATTGCATCTTTTCTACATGCATACACAAACAAAATGAATATCCATCCGGTGAGCCTGTGCGTTGTTGGCAGTGGAGATGCCTTGAAGCCTGACGTGTCTCAGGGTCTCCTCCTATAGGTATCTACGCAGGGTCTGGCGCTAAGCCACGCTCCGGACGGCGCCACTGCCATCATGACAGCCACCCTCACAACACCTTCTCACACACACCGCATCCAAGCAGCCACCGCATCGTGCTTTTGCTGAGCCACTTCACCCATCCAGTAGTTTCTATCTTGCTTTTCTTTTCACATGCACCTCCACCACTTCACCCCACCCCTACACACCATACTCATTCTCTCGCGAAGCTAGCTCCGTCTTGATGCGGTCTAGGACCTCTACGTAGTGCTTGTAGTTGGGGAAATCCACACCTTGGCAGTCCTTCTTCACTTGGCCAGCTTTGACAGCGGCCGCTTTAGCCATTCCAAGGTCGTTTTGGTGCTCACAGACGAGCGCAATATCCAGGTACCTATTCAGAATCAGCCGAGAACTCTGCGAGACCTTCGTAGAGCTCCTGCCGTCACTTTCTACCCTTCTCGTCAAACAAGTGTAAAAACCACCAGGTTGCGAGAATGACTCATATTATTACTTACACAGCAGCCAGTATGGCGGTATAGTCTCCTTCGAGTCCGTGTAGCACGGCTAGTTGAAGCAACTTGTTGACGAATTGGGGCTGCTGGATCCCTTCCAGAAGCATCGCGCCTCGCCACCTACGCGTCTCATGATCTAGTTCTTGGAGTAGGAAGCGCCTTATAGCACTCTGGTGTGCGAAGCTTGTCTCGTCGCTTTCGTCCCCAGTGCAAGCTGGGCAGTCGCAGACGAAGCCATAGTGCTTGAGCTCATATGTCCGGGATGGCTTGTCATGGATCATGTCGCAGTATGATAGTGTGATCTCTTCGCCTACAGCCACGTCATTCATTACATGGATAGTCTCCTTGTTGATGGATGGGTTCCAGGAGAAGCAAGCATTGGGATTGCAAGAATGATTGAATCGTGCTGCATGTGGGAACACAGCTGCACCCTTATCCATTTCCATGCAATTTGTCTGGAAGATGCTCATCCATGTCGCTTCCTTGCCAATTCGAGCCGTGTGTTGCTCCTCAATACGCTGTCGTTCTCTTGGTTCTACGCTACTATGGATTTTAGACGGCCATTGTCTTGGATCCTGGCCATGGCCAGAATGAAGCGAAAAGTAGAGCTTCTTCTGTTCCGCCGTCAATCTTGCAGCGGCATCCTCAATGTCAGATTTTAGATATGCCCCGGATGGTACAGCCAAGAGTGGATCGTCTTCCAAGATACGCGTCCCTCGGGGGATCGGCGCAAGCGCGAAACATCCATAACCTTTTCCAGGAATCTTTCGAATCTCGTAGTATTCGTTTCCCTCTGTACACTGTCAGCCCCGCCCAAATTACCTTTTCTCGATGCTGGTCTGCTCCAGTACTCTTGTTCGTAATGAGATCAAGGGTTTCACTACTTACCAGGAGGCGTCGGAATAGCTCCATCGGATATCGCCATCTTGGAGTTCTCACGAAGTAGAAAACCAGGGCGACTATGAGAGATTTTGAAGTACCAGCCGCTTGCTTGCTCAAGGAGTGAGTGTTTGCTACTCGATGAGGTAGTGGGTGTGAAAGCAAATGTTTGGATGATTGTGTAGGTAGGGACACTGCCGCACTTCACTTTGGCACACTGCGCTATCAACCCTAGGCATCTCTCACCCGTCCTGCAAAGTGAAAATGCTCTGATTGGTTTTACCTTCGTTGACAAATACACGCATGATCCCTGGTCTCCCTCACTCTCCCCATCAAGAGGTCATGTTTTACATTTTAGGCCATTCCGGAGCTGCTTTCCGACCTATATGATTATTCTCTAGGTTTAATATGTGGGCCACTAGTAAGGGAGCAACGCAGGCTAAGGTTACAAACAAGAACTTTACTATATGCAGTGTAGCGGCCGTCGGCATTGCTTGAGAACAGCTCGGCATTTCTCACTGATATTATTAACCCAGCGATAGAGCCATACGAAGACGAGAGTCTGGTCATCAAATTTGGCGTATGCACATACAAAACTTACAATTACCATCGCCGCAAAGCCAAACCACAAACATCTAACAGCACTAAAATCTTACAGTCATTTTGATCGACTGCAGATTCCAACATCGTCCCGAGAGACAGCAGGTATTTGCTAGGACCAACACCGCACATTACGAGCTTAGCTTACTGGTTTTCCGCGCATCCGAGGATTTGCAACCGGACTCGGATCCCGAATCCATAGAGCGTACACGTGTCAGTATGTAAGTAGAGTCAGGGGGTTCTGAAGCCAAGCGCGCGAGCGAAGTAATTCCTTTTCTCATAGTACGTGAAGGACAGTGTTCTAGTGTATCACATGACATCAAGAATAGACACGCAACCCGGACTATATTTATCTCCGCACCATCAAATCAGAAGAGTCAATATGGGTATTCTTCATACTTCCTACCGACATGAAATACCGACATGCCATCCACTCTGACCCCATCCCATCTACCATCCCCCACATCTGCCCTGGTACTCTCCACTTCATCCTTTCCTCGCATCTGACTTTCCATCTTTACTTTGAATACTCATACTCATTCTCAGACTCATACGGTCCACCATGGAAGTCGCATTTTTGATCCTTCCTCTCCTTGACACCCGGCCACTTGATCATGCTAGAGCCGACGCAGTGTCTCTTGCATGTCCACTTGTACTTTAGGTTGACGCAGCCGCATTTGTATTCGACCTGGTAGACTTCGCACATCTTGGTCGCTGGGTTAGAATTTGGATGGGGAGTGTATTGGGGTATTGGGAGGTTTGGGTGGGGTGGTGATAGAGGGAAAGGAGGAGATGTATACAGTAAAGGTGCGTTTACAAGGTGAATGGTGCTGTGGATTCACAGCCAGGGAGGGTTTCATTCATGATCAAGATGGCATTGAATGCTTGAATGAGAGAAGGATTTCTATGGTCATTCTTGGATACCTGAAGAGTTCAACGGGCAAACTTTATTGTCCGCATGCTTCCGTTCAAACAGCAAACATTCACACTGAAGGTTCAACAACCAAGAAATCCTTAGCTCACCGCAATGCCACACCTCCAGCTCGACCCCACACCCTACTCAATGCGTAACCAACCACTCCAAAACCCTCTCCGCAATCTCCTCGTTATTCTTCTCCATAAAAAGCATATGCCCATTCCCCCGAATCCCCACATCCGCCAACTCCAAATCTTGCACCTTTACCCCCGCCTGCCTCAAATACCCAACCGTACAATAATCATACGGTGCATGATAACTCGCCTCCGCCGTAACCAGCAACACGGGCACTTTCGCAAGATTAACCAGCTTCTTCGCCGGCTCTACTTGCATAATACAATCAACATGCTCCGCATCTTTCGCTGGCACAACCACTTTCTCGATAAACGAAGCGTTCGGGCCAGCAGGCGGATCATACGAGACTTCTAAATCGGTAATACCCCAGGCTCGCGCAGGCCCCGATGCAGCGACTCGATTGATAAACGGCGGACCAGCAGGTTCAAGCGCGACTATGCTTTTCGTGAGCTGCGGCCTTGCATCGCCGACACGCCAACCGTACGCGCCCGCCTGACTATGCGTAACAACATGCGCAACCCCAATCTTATCAAGCAGCGCCGTATACGCCTTTGCGTTTTGCGATTCCAGAATCGTCACATTTACCTGGCGCTGGACTTGGGTCGCGTAAAATGTATCAAAAACGGCATCACCAACTTTACCCGTCCCGGGCCACTGCGTGTGCAGTTTGGCCTGCGGCCAGCGCGCGTGCGAGGAGATGGCTGTGAAGAGCGACTCTACGCGCGCGGTGCTGGCGATTTCCAGGGTACCGAGGCCGGGGAACCAAGGGGAGCGGCCGCGAGAGGGCTGGTCGGTTAGGTAGACGGTGTAGCCGTGCGAGAGGAAGAAAGAAGCCCAGCCTGGACGGCCATCGGGGGTTTCGAGGAAGTTTGTGCCTGTTTGGCCGTTTCCGGCGATGAAGACGATGGGGGTGGATTGGGTTTGGTTGGTTGGGGTAAGTTTCTCCACGTAGATTTGGTTGAGCATGTATTGTGCTGTTTCGTTTCCTAGCTACATTTTTTCTTGTTAGAGAGATGTGATGGTGGTTTGGGGTTTACGTTACTTACTGTGAGATTTGCATACTCGCCGCCTACGTAGAAGAACTCGCGACGCGATGCTACCTTCTCAACGTAACCCAATGCAGTGGCTAGAAAGTGCCCGCAGAGCACCAGTACTGTGGTGCTCAGGTGAAATCCTCCCATCTGGTCTTTTGATCAGAGGCTCTTGCTGGACGGTGAAGACTGGCATTGTACGACATTGAAGGTGGGGAAGGGCCGACTGTCGTGTACGGCTATATAATCGTCACTCAAACGAGGGCGCTAAAGCATCTCACTCATATTTGGCCGACCCGCTCATCTTGGCATACGGAAATGTTTGTGTGTAATCCCACGGACTTGAGTTCTGCCAACAAAAGATCACATTGTATCTAGGTTGATTCGGTGCAATGTTTAGCGAAATCCACACGTATCTAGCATGCCGTTCCTCGACCGGAATTCTATATTCCGTGTCACATATACGCTAGGGAGACATCGTTGAGGGAATTCGATTTCATCAAGCCTTCCTATTTGGATGAAACAGTGATGGTCTTCATACGACTCTAGATTGGATCAGTATGTGGCTGGTAGGACACTCAGTCGTCCGCCATCCGTGAGCAAAATATTTCCGTTGATGTAAGCACCCGCTCTGCTCGTCAAGAACAACAAAGCGCCCGCCATATCCTTACGGTCTCCAACTCTTTGCTGTGGAAGGTATTCCCTAGGATAAGACTCTTTGAAATTCATGTCGGCAGTAATCTCGCTTGGGTACACTGCATAAACGTTAGTATATTGCAAAGGCAGCCTCACTAGCTCTCGTGACACTAGCACATTTGGAATCTTCCTGATGAAATAAAGCGAGAAATTTGCAACTTACATCCAGGTGCAAGAACGTTACAACGGATGCCGAATGGCACTAGCCTTGTAGCGAGCTGCTTCGTGATGTGGATAACTGCTGCTTTTGAGCCGGCATATGCGAAGCCCGACATTAGAACACGGCTGAATGCCCCAGCACTGCTGACACAAATGAACTGGCTATCTTGCTCGACATTCTTAGCCTTGTTGCCCTTGTCTAGCAAGTCAAGGAAAGCGACAGCAGTGAAGAAGGCTCCGTTGACATTGACGTTGTATGCCTGGTTGAACTCGTCTGAGTCCCAGTTCCACAGGTACTCTTGCGTTTCCTTGATCGTTGCATCGTCTTTCAGATAGCGCAATGTTGGGCCAATGATGCCGGAGTTTGCAACTACGACGTTGACGTAACCGACTGCCTCAGCGATATGGGCGGCCGCTTCGGCAAGATCCGGCTTCGAAGTCACATCTGCTTTGAAGTAACGGATGTTGCCATGCTTCTACACATATCGATTAGCGAATTTAATGATGATTGCCGGTGGAGTTGAATCGCTGAGGAGGTTTAGAAACGAAAGTAAACAGATACGACAGTGTAACAAGAAGCACCGTCCGATTGTGAAACAACAAAGCTTACCGCTGTAGCCGCAGCCTCTTTCAAAACCTCCAATCGTCGTCCGAGGATGTAGACAATTGCACCGTTAGCCTCCAAGGCTTGAGCAATCATCAAACCGATACCTTTGGATTGGTCAGTCCAGTAAATGACTCAGCGGTCCAGAAGCATTACCTGTCCCTCCGCCAGTGACAACAGCTACCAAGCCTTTGACATTGAAGAGATTGCCCGCTTCGATATCCGCCATTGTGATGTATGTCGACTCAGGAACGAGATTGGTCTACTACCGTACTGGATACAAATATTGACAAAGCTCAGTTGAAAGTGCGGGAGGAATCGGATGCAGATCATGCGGCTGCGCGCCACTACTAGTAAATGACATGCTTTCGCCTGCTGTTGATAGGGCCGAGAGATACCCCGTGCCAACGCATCCGACTTTGCATCCTGGATCCTCATCACATGACAGGGTTATGCTCGTATAAGGATTACTCACATATTTAGAATAAGATCTAAGAGGACGTTTTAAATCTTACAAAACCGGGTTCCGCAAGGAATAGCGGTTCTTGCCTTGAGACTCACTGGCATCGATTTGGTGTCTTATTTGAAAAAATAACAGATTCTCGGTGGTGCCTCAGACTTGGTGTGATGTGCTACGAATCCGCTAGGTACAAATAGGCATCTGCAAATGCCACTTCCTAGGTAGTGAGTGATGCACCAGATCAACCACGGTGAATATGCATCAGTTCTTAACAGTAGTTTTTTCGCGTGATCAAAGACAATTAGATGAATTACGCCAAGCTGACACTGGGCGTGTCTTGGAGTCGTATCACAATCAATACACCATTCTGACCTCACGTGCGATCGCTTAAGTACTCAAAGCAGGCGCTCTCAAGTACCGAAGTCTCTATTATTCAGTAGGGTCTAGAATATCCAAATAAAATCATCGTCTTAGATGTTCGTAGCATATAACTTAGTCCAAATGGACGCTACTTCAAGCTATGTAGTCTGAAGATTAGAAGTAGTGTATGCTCGAAGTGCGGGGTCGGCTAGTGGGCATACTAGTAGCCCGTACACGGATCCGTCTCACTGGTATAGGTTCTCTATCTGGAACAGATCAGAGAGATTAGCGAGATAGCATCCGACACCAGTTCGTTATTGTTTGTGTCGAGGTGTTGCAGCGCGTGGAAGCTGTTCCTAGGACCGAGGTTCGGGCTAGTCAACCCCACGGATGCGAGCTATCTCCGTGTGGGGTAACACCCAAATGGGTAATGCGGGCTACGCGTATCTGCCTAGGTGGCCCAACGCACCGCCACCTTGTCAACACTTGCTCGGCTTCTCTTTCATCCTCTTTGCAGTTCTCTTGGTTACAGGGTGCTTGTTTGTTCATGCCTTGATTGGCAGCACCTAATCCATTCCCTCTATCTTTCAAGCCACCATGGGCCTTTCCCCAATTGAGCGGCTACCCGTCGAGCTCCTACAGCACATATTCATTGGGTCAGACTGCAGCCTTACGTTGCTGCAAACATCTCCATATATCGCAACGCGGCTCTCGTCCGAATACATCTACAACTGTACTTGCGACTACTATCTGACTGAGGTGCATGGCGAGCATAGCAAGCAGTCCGCTGCGCAGACCTATATCTTTGCTTCCAAGTGGATGACATGGGAATTTTTCAAGTCATGGTGTCTGCGGCGATTCGGACCTCGAGGTTGCTTGTGTGACCGCATGCCGGAGGAAGGCTGCTTCGATGCGCAGTGGCCTCCGAACTTCCAGGATGCGACGACCATGGTCTTTTCACGAAGCCATTTACCGCGCCTTGCTTTTGTCAAAGGCCGTTTACCAAGAAAACTGCTGCAAGGGCCATGGTCTCCGGATAAGATTGAGTTTCTGCGGTTCTTGCTGTGGACTACAAGCATGAATGTTGATTGGTGTAACCCCGAGATGGCTCAGTTGGCCGTCCAAGGCAGGCTCCAGGCGATGAAGGAACGAAAGTTGGAGGCAGTAGAGCTGTTCAATAACAATAGGCGACTAGGGAAACGACCCAGCTTGGAAACAGTGCATTTTGCTGTCGTGGAAGCTGGTTGCGATCGCTCTATCGTGTACGATACGTTGGAGGGAGCGAATATGTGGAATCATACTACTGATTCCCATTATGCTGAAGCGTTGCACAAATGGTGTGATGACCAAATAGCAGCCGGTAGTCGAAAGGGCTTATGGCTGCGCAAAAAGCTGGAAGAGTCCCTGGTTCTAAGAAAAGGGGACACTGCAAATGAATACGACCCAGGGAAGGCGTATCCGCGAAAATCATGTCTGACCACTGAGACTGAGGACTATGATGGTGGACCAGATGATCAGTTGATAGTCAATGAGCTTGAGTGGAACAAGGTACGTTGGTATTTCTTTTTTCCCGCCATTACAAAGCCTGCATTCCTCCTGGATGGAGCGTTCTACATATGTCCAACAGAACCCCTTGAAGCGTGGATGCCGTAAATAAAAGGCAGAAACATTCCCAAGTGTTAAAGCTTTCCAAGCTGTTGGAATTACATTGCGACAGAATGAAGTCATGGTTCCTTGATTTCCTGCTTGGAAATTGCGCTTAGAGCTAAATATGCTCTAGGTGATACCACAGCGAGGATGGCTCATTGCAAGAGCTACGGGCTACAACTACCAGACTATTAATCATAACCTGAGCTGGCCTGAGATTACTCGGCATCCCGGATACCGCATGTATCGAGGCCCCAACTCACCTCGTCGATTACAATGCTGGGTAGAGCACAGCGGAGCTTCACGAATCATTGACTTGTGGCTAAGTCCACCTGCTTCGCGCGAAAGCACTCCTGAGCTTCGCCAACGCCGGACCTCGTTTAAGTACACTTCTTGAAATGGGAAGAAACGGGGGATGGGAAGTGATCAAGCAAAAATGTATTGTGCTCGTTTATTGGGTACGATGGCTTGAAGCACATTCGAATCCGACCTTGCATTTACACCAAGAACTCGACACAACAAACCAGCTTTTTATTGTAGAATTTTGTCTCATTGCTGCCCAATCACCTTGAATTTCCTTTTATAGTCTAGCAAACATTCTGCTAACACTGCGCTATAGCCCTATCTTCTATTCGGTTGGTTCAGAGTTTCACCATTCCGAAGAACGGGAATTCACGGTGTTACAAGATCTGATCTTGGAGATTACTGGGTACACATCTACGGTCAGCGCCGGTTGTGTAAGGGAAGCTACGGACACACAGTCACAGATGGACACCATTTCTGGCTGGAGATGTGGGTCACGCAGACCAAGCAGCAAACACATCTACAGGGTGAGTGAGCAGTAGAGTTTTGTTACTTCTCGGACTCGGTGGCCTTAGATTTGAGCAAGTTGGTATGATGAACTATAGGGCTTTTGAATTTACTGGCCCAAGAACATGTTTGCGGAACCATACTACAATTTGCTTTTCGCCTCACGGCTTACAAAACCACAAACTGGCCTTATTCTGACCATTTCAACCGTCTCCGTCTTGTTTCCCGCGACCACTCTTTGGAGTTCTGTGAATGCGTCATCATCTTGCAGTACGCCCTCTATGCGCATACTCTTCCCCTCTTTATCTTCCGACACCAGAATTGCGTCAAGTCCCTTTACATTACTCACAGCTTTCTCGAAGACGCTCTCGCAGTCTCTTTTTGGCGTTACGGATTGGTTAGGCTTCGGAGTAACGTTCAGCAGAGCAATAACAGGGGTTGAAGAATTGGACAACGTTGAACCTAGCATCTTCTTATTCACAACAGGACGATTGTGCACTTCAGGGGGCTGAGCAAGAACTTCTCCAGTACCGAATAGTTGAATGAGGTCTAGTACGGGTTTGGCAGCCATATGTGCATCATTTGCCGCTTGGTTTGCGTATCTGGTCTTTGTCAGCATGATCTACAATATTGGTACAATTAGAAAGAAACCTACTCTTCGATCATGTATATCTCATTTTCTGCCTGATCATCGTATGGTAGAGCGCACACATATTGCAATACCTCGGGCTCGTTTGACGTTGTGTAGTCGATGATCTTCTGAAAGGCTTCGATAGCTTTTTGCCGGGTCTGTGTGTCCTTGCATACGAGTCTTGCTATGGTCACAATAGACGTCATTTTGAATCAATGCATCAATCATTGCAAGAAATTACATTGCTCGGAACCAACGGGTTTTATAAAGCATACCAACCCCGCAAGCTCGGAACTGGGAGTCCGAGACTTCGGAATAGGTGACCCGTACCTGCATTCACACTGCGTTGCTGACATACCAATGACTCTAGGTTTGGCACATGACATCTCCTACCAAATAGTATGCAACTATGACTTGCTGTCAACATACCTCCAAACACGATATGCGCCAAAGACAGACCCTCGCGTCACCACGTGAGCTCGCGTATCCTGACGTCACCAACCCATTACCCTTGCACACCACCAGACGCGCCTTCTCTCGTACCCGCCTAACCCTTCAGCTTCCCAAGGTCCAACCAAACATCCCATGTCCCTCCCCCGCTACATCCGCTCTCTCCACTCATCCTTCTTCACCCCATGGCGCACATACTCCTCTCTCAATCGTAAAAGCAGTATCCCATTCAACTTCTTCTCTGGCTTCACCGCCGCCACCATGGCCTCCGCATCCCCCACCAACCCTTTCCCCTCAACACCGTACACCCCAAAATACGATAAATGGCCGTATACAGCCTCGGATTTCCAGCGCTACGATGAGAATCCCGACGGCGATTTCTACAAGCAACCGCGGCTAGTTACGCATATTGATGACCCGGCTATTGCACGCTTGACACAGTATTACGACACAGTTCTGCCGCGGAAGGGCGAGATGCTGGATATGTGTACGAGCTGGAAATCATTCTATCCACCATCCGTTAAAGAAGCGATTCAAAAGGGTGAGCTAAAAGTTTATGGCGTGGGGTTGAACAGAGAAGAGATGGCACTCAATGGATGTTTTCTGGGCAAAGAGGAGAGGTTGAGGGTGCTGGATTTGAATGCGCCGCCGCATGATGTTAGAGCGGGGTGGGAGGAAGAGGAATTGCAGTTTGATGCTACGACGTGTGTGGTTAGCATCGATTATTTGAATGAGCCGCTGGAGGTTTGCAGGAGGTTGCTTGAGGCGACGAAGGAGGGGGGAACGGTGCATTTGGTTATTAGTAACCGTTGCTTTCCGAATAAGGTTGTTAGGAGGTGGTTGATGTTGGATGAGCGGTCGAGATTGGAGTTTGTGGGAGGTAAGTTGAGTGGTCATGCTTTGGGTACTGGGGTATTTGCTGACTTTGTAGATTATCTTCACTTTTCTGGATGGAAAGATGTGGAGATTGTTGATCTTTGCGCGAGAGATGAGAAAGGCATGCGAGTCACGGATGATCAGGGCACGGTTCTTATACGCTCACCACATCTTCCAGACCACCTGGACCCATTGTGGGTAGTTCGGGGTACAAATCAAGCGTAGTTCACTTGGGTGTAGTTGATAAGACTATTGATTCCTTTGTAAATGTACTTTTTATAAACTTTTGTTTGACTTACGATAGCGAATACATCTTCTAAGTACAAGCAACTCAATCACACAGCTTTTAATACCGAACCTTTGTACGTACTGTCCCCCCTCACCCCTGCTTCGCCCACGGCTCCAGTGCATCAACCAACTTCTTCCACTTTCCCCCCTGCCACCCACAAATACGCTCCCACTCCGGCAGTGTTGCCTTAATAAACTGCAACCAACCCCCCACAACAACATCCGCATACGTCAACTTTGCGCCCTCCAAAAACGGTCCCTGATCCCCAAACCGCCACATCTTCGCAAACTCCTCCATATCCGCCTCAAAAGCCTGTAGAATCTTCTCCCTAGTCTCACCCTCTACACACAACTGATCCCAGCTCTCCATATGCAAGCGCTCCACAAACTCCCGTTTCGTCTGCTCCGCCGTCTCAGGATTCAGCGGCAGATAATTCGAGCACAGCACTACGTGTTTCGTGAACAATGCATCGACGTGCGCGTTGAAGACGCGGTAGACGCCGATTGTGTCGGGAGAAGGGAATAGGCGTTCCCCGCTGTCTGCGTACGTGCGGTCAAGGTACACGGCTATGTCGAAGGAGTCGCCGACCCAGGAGTCGCCGTTGGGGGTGTTGGGATCCCGAATCATGGGTAGGGTGTAGAAGTCGGAGTTGTCTGGGAATTTGCGCACAGGGTCGACTTTGTGTGCGAGACGGGTGGATTTTACGTCTGGGAGTTCGACCCAGTTGGTTTTGTAATGGAGGGCTTTGATGTTGAGTGTATAACTAAATTGTTTGTTAGATATGCATGCTTTTTGCTTTTTCTTACGTGTTGGAAGAGGGGGAGTGGGGAAGCTGGAAATAACGAACCGTGTTTTCCAGGGGTTCGGGGCGTAGCATCGTTTTGGGGGGCCAGAGGCTATGTCGAAGAATTCAATTGGGGATTCGGGTGTTGCCATTTTGTCTGGTTTGTTGGTCTGTGTGGTGTCGCTGGTCTCGAGGAAGCTTGTCATGCGGAGATGGGATGCTGAGTATTGGTGGTGTCTGTGGGATGGTAGTTTGGTCCTATGTATATATGTATGTGCTTCTGTGCTGGCCAAGATGCCGCAGCATATAGTTACGTCGTTAGGCGTCCACAGACCAATCAATTGGACATGGGATGAGTCGATATGATATATGCGGAGTTCATGTAGAGTAGTGGGGCGAGGCGAACCGACGTTAATTTCGTGCAGACGCTTTGTACCACACCTTCTTAGCTTGTGAAGGCATAAACTAGCATAGAGACCGGAGTTCGGCAAGGACTGCAGTCTTGTGCACAAGGATTGGTTTGGTGTAGACGGTTGTTTGTGGCCTTTTGTGGGCCATTATCATTGTTGAGCAAAGATGAGTTGTTGTGGCTGTGCTTTTTGTACGACGGAAAGAGGTTGGTAGGAACACAATTACAGGCCCAATCTGCTGAACTCCTCTTAGTGCACAACCACCGTCCCTGGCGAAGACCTGGATCATTTGTATGGCATCTATCGCTGACTCCTTGCGTGTTCGTAAAAACCTAGGCTTCAATAACTTCCCGCAACGCCCTTGCACTCTTCTCCAACAGCTCCTTCTCCTCGCTACTCAACGGCATTGGCACACTCCTTACAATTCCCTTTCTCCCTAAAACCGCCGGCACACTCAGACAAACATCCAAGTCATCCTGGTAATGACTAACTGGCCGGATGCTCCTCTGGTCAAAAAGTATAGACTTGCAGATACTGGCTGTGACACCACCGATGCCATAATTAGTCGCACCTTTATTTTGGATAATATTTGTGGCTTTGTTTTTGGTTTCTTATGCAATGGCCTTTTTGTCAATGTTCTGATTTGATTCAATGGCTTTATCGAGAGGTACACCTCCAATGCTAGCAAGGCTCCAGGCGACAAATTGAGATTCACCGTGCTCGCCCAATACGTAAGCATCGATACTGGACGCTGCGACCTCAGCTTTCAGGGCAAGGATACCACGGAGGCGCGCTGAATCGAGAAAAGTGCCGGAGCCGATGACTTGCTGTTTGGGAAGCCCGGAAAATTGTTGGGCGAAGTAGGTGAGTACATCGACGGGGTTGGCGACGAGAAGCAGGACGGTATCTGGGCGAAAAGGTTTCATATCGCTAATAGCGGATTCGAGAATAGCTTTGTTGCGGCCGATGAGGTCGGTTCGGCTCTCACCTGTGCGTTGATGAGTTCCTGGGATCTCGCTGATGTTTCTCTGTGCTCGATTGATGTGTACCTTTCTTTTGCTTTGCGCCGGCGGTTATGACTATAACATCGCACTGCCCAGCTTCTTTGTGTGTTCCTGATCTTATGCGCGTTGTGGTATTTCCATGAAACGTGGCGTCAGAAAGGTCTTGTACCTGAGCATCACGGACTTCTTCTTTTGGATCCACTATCAAGATGTCACCCGCGACCGGGTCCATGATGAGCGAGTAGGCAATGGTGGCACCTACATCGCCTGCACCAAGAATAGCGACTTGTGAGGTGAGTTTCGGATCTTGAGACATAGTAACAAAAGGGAAATGTAAGATTCAAAGGGAACGCTGTGTTGGGATTGATGAGTACCTTTTAGCTTGATGATGCTTCTATTAAACCAGCTTGTGACCTACGTCATTCTAATGGCGCTAGTATCCTTGCTATCCGTAGATAGCCCTGTATTATTTTGTTCGATCGTTATACATCACTGCATGACGCCACACCCCATTGCATGCCTTTCGTGAAGCTGTAGCAATGACGGGCGGCCCATGACAGACGGATTAGCCTGCCTTTTGGGTTTACACACATTCGACATTGCTGGAGATCCGTCTCGTGCGTCGTGTAGACCTGCGAGGTGGGCACTGTGGTTTTTTCCGAGCTAGCTAGTATATGTCTTAGTATGAGATACGGGGTTCGTATGCAAAACTGAAGAAAGCATCGCGAAAGTCAAGCACATTCACGATACCTTGGGTGAAGCGGTCGCAGCTGGTGCAGCCGTCTTCTTCTTCCGGGGCTGTGTCAAAAGACCTTTCTTGAGCAGCAAGGGTATGACATCGGAAGGCTTATTGCGACTGATTGTCTTTCGACACACGGGACATTGTGAACGTTTGGTCTCGTGGGGACCTGTACGGTTCTCACCGGCGATGAGAGCTTCCATGAGGCAAGTGTGGCAGAACAAATGACCTATCTGGAATCAGTACAATTTCAACGTTGTTGTATGCAGAGTAGGACATACCACATGCTGTAGCTGTAAGGTCGGTGGGATTGTCCATGCAGATGACGCAATTGAAGGAGTTGAATGTAGTGAACGTCTCGTCGGGCCTGGCTTGTACCTTGGCAGCATCCTCACGCTGCTTCTGCAGAACCTGTTGGACTGATGAATTCTCAGTCAAGTCGACTTCTTCCACCGTGACAGATTCCACGCTCTGCTGCTTGGCCTCCTTGGCCGTACCGTCTTCTCTCTTGCGCCGCTTTGCTGAGGGGCCTGGCGTAGGCGACTGTCTCTTCCTTGTACGAGGGGGCGAGTCTGGAGCGCTGGTCAGGTCTACGTAGCCATTTGCCAGACGGTCAGGTCGCTGTGAAGCCGGTGACCCCTGTGGATGTGCTCGGGTGGTAGGCGGCATCTCTGGTTGTAGAGGGCGGTAGGGTCGCCAGTCAAACGGGGAGTATCTGCCGTGGTCGAGGCCGGCTGGGTTGAGGATATGGTCAAAGAAACCAGTGCTGAAGGAGAGAGTCGGAGCGCGGTTAGGTTCCTCGGACTGGCGGTCGGCGGCTGTGTCGGCTGCAGCGGCTGCAGCGGCTGCAGTAGCGGCGTATTCGTCGTCAAAGAAGGCGTCGATGCCTGAGGGTGAAGGTGAAAGCGAGGCGCGACCGTCCGGGTCGAGGTTGTCGAGCGTATGGGACGAATGTGTTGGTGAGGCGATGTCATTGTCGTCGTCCAAGTGGGCGTAGTCGGCCGACATGGTGGCGCAGGCGTCGACCTACTGGGCGGCAGCGGCAGTGGCGGCAGCAACAGCAGCAACCTTTTCCTTCACCGACAGGATCGCGAGGCTAGCAAGGGGCCTGGGCATGGTGTCGCAGAGGCCGCCGGGTCGGGCGTGCTGCACAGCAAGAGACGAACGAACGGGAGTGCATGCAGTGGTCCGCCCGCGTAGGGCTGAGAGGCTGTGGCGCAGGCAACGCCAAGCACGAGAATAGTTTGGTCGGGCCTCAGCACCATGACGACACAATCCGGCATTCTAGTACTGCACTGCACAAAACTTCGTGCGACACGGCCTGAATGCGACGACATGCAGCAATGCGCTTGATATACGTGCGATGATGCGCTGCTCAGGACGGCCGTTGACCGCCACCACCGCTGCCCGCCGGTCCTGTCCTTTTGCTGCGCATGTGCCTTTTGCAAATCCCCCACTGCGACGATGCCTCGCCACAGCCCCGCCACCATCCAGTCGCAAAGGCAGCACCACCAAGAAGACCAGCCTCAATAGTATGTCATTGGTGCGGTGCGAGGCCAGTTCCTGCATACTAACAATTTGCAGTCCCCTCAGAAGCCCGCTTCAGTCCCATTGGCGTCCAGCATCTTTCTTTCCACATCCACCAGCAAGTCTTTCCTGGCGCAGAAACCAAACCCCCACCTGAACTCATAGCCCTATCCAAGGATCACCTCACCCGCCATGACTTGCTGGGGAAGAACCAGGATCAGAGCCCGCCTGTCGGGTTCGATATGCCCGAGCTACAGGGCACCACACTGGACGAGCACTTCTACAAGCTAGGCATGGACGCTGCTGAACCATATTTGGGCATGGCAAAGAGGCTAGTATGGGCAAACCCACCACCAAGGCCAAAGCAATGGGTGCGACAGAGTGGCTGGACCAAGTACAACAGCGATGGGACGACGGAAGCAGTAGAAGTGCCAGACGAGACGATGCTCGTTTTCGATACCGAAGTCATGTGGAAAGAGACATCGTTTGCGTGTATGGCGTGCGCCGCCAGTCCGACAGCGTGGTATGCCTGGCTATCTCCCTGGCTGTTAGGAGAGTCAGAGTCGGATCGACATCTCATTCCCTTTGGAGACACGTCGACACCGCGTGTCATTGTAGGCCACAACATAGGCTATGATAGGGCTCGCATAGCAGAGGAGTACAGCATATCACAGTCCAAAAACGCTTTTGTTGATACCATGTCGTTGCATGTTGCTTCTAACGGCATGTGCTCGCGGCAACGTCCCTCCTGGATGAAACACCAGAAGACCCGAGAACAGCGGGGCAAGACGGCTACTGCTGATGAGAATGCAGATTTGTCCTCGGTGCTGGATCCTGACGTACTGCCAGACGAAGAAGAGCTTTGGATGGGAAGGAGTGCAATCAACTCGTTACGAGATGTAGCTCAGTTTCATTGCAACATCACCATAGACAAAGCAAAGAGAGAATACTTTGGCGAACTTGATCGCGCAGGCGTGCGGGATATGCTGGATGAGCTGCTCGACTATTGCGCTGCCGATGTGGAAATCACTCATCGCGTCTATCAGAAGGTCTTCCCCCTCTTCCTCGAAACATGTCCACACCCGGTCAGCTTTGCTGCACTTCGCTTTTTGGCTGTCGAAATACTACCAGTTGACGAGACTTGGGATTCTTACATCAACAACGCCGAGGCAACGTACCATAAACTGGACAACGGGGTGAAAGAAAGGTTGGTTGCGCTTACAGAAAAGGCATTGGAGGTCAAAGATCAACCGGATGTGTACAACAACGACCCTTGGTTAAGTCAGCTGGACTGGTCAGGCCAGGAGGTGAAGATGGTCAAAGGAAAGAAGAAGGGCGACCCACCTCGACCTGCAGCACGACAGAAGAAGCCGGGCATGCCCAAGTGGTACAAAGATCTTTTTACCAAGAATGACGGCCCCATGAATCTTACCGTGCGAACCCGATTGACGCCAATATTGCTCAGGCTGGCTTGGGATGGCAACCCTCTGGTCTGGTCAGACAAGTACGGGTGGACGTACCGAGTGCCCATGGATGAAGTGTTTGCCTACAACGAAAAGGGAATCAAGGAGTTGGACATGTCTGAAGAAGAAAACTTGAAGTTGCGTGACGACACCGCGCATGCATACTACAAGATCCCACACAAGGATGGTCCGCTTGCAAGATGTACCAACCCGCTTGCCAAGGGCTATCTACAATATTTTGAAAAGGGCAAGCTGGGCTCAGAGTATGCTTACGCTAAGGAAGCATTGGAGATGAATGCTTCATGTTCATACTGGATCAGCGCGAGAGATCGAATCATGTCGCAAATGGTTGTGTACAACAAGGAGGCAAGTAATGCACCCAGACTGGCATCTTCCTCTGCCAAGACTGGAGGAGGCAAGGTTGGGTTCATACTGCCGCAAATCATACCCATGGGTACCATTACAAGGCGCTCGGTTGAGAATACGTGGTTGACTGCGAGCAATGCGAAGAAGAACCGCGTTGGGTCCGAGCTGAAATCGATGGTACGAGCACCCAAAGGATACTGCTTTGTGGGAGCCGATGTCGATTCACAGGAGCTGTGGATTGCTAGCTTGATCGGTGACGCAACGTTCAAACTGCACGGTGGTAATGCGGTTGGTTTTATGACACTAGAGGGGACCAAGGCGGCAGGCACTGATCTGCATTCACGAACAGCGTCCATCTTGGGCATTTCGAGGAACGATGCCAAAGTGTTCAACTATGGTCGCATATACGGCGCTGGGCTACAGTTTGCGTCGACACTACTGCGGCAGTTCAATCCCTCGTTGACGGACGCCGAAACGTCCAAGACGGCAAACGATCTGTATCAAAACACAAAGGGCAAGAAGACGACGCGGAAGGTGCTACGCGACAGACCGTTTTGGCGCGGAGGTACGGAATCGTTTGTCTTCAATCGACTAGAAGACTTTGCCGAACAGGAGAGGCCGAGGACACCAGTACTTGGAGCTGCCATTACCGAAGCGCTGCAGAGACGGTATCTTTCCAAAGGCGGCTTCATGACTTCACGGATCAACTGGGCTATTCAGTCTTCGGGCGTCGACTATCTCCATCTCCTCATTGTGTCGATGGACTACCTCACTCGTCGGTACAATCTTGACTGCCGGTTAGCCATTACGGTACATGACGAGATCCGGTATCTGGTGAAGGACAGGGACAAGTACAAGGCAGCCATGGCGCTCCAGGTGGCGAATATATGGACACGAGCCATGTTTGCACAGCAAATGGGGATCAACGAGCTTCCACAGTCGTGCGCGTATTTCTCAGCAGTGGACATTGACCATGTGTTGAGAAAGGAAGTGGACATGGACTGCATTACGCCGAGCAACAAAGAAGCGATACCTCACGGGGAGAGCCTTGATATCATGGCACTGCTTGACAAGGGTACCGAAGCACAGCTGAAGTCATCGACAAAGCCAAAGGACGCACCAGCACCGCAGCAATACACACATGCCTTTACACCGCGTACGCCAATTATCAACACGCTGTCGGGGTCTGACAGTGCATCGCCCATGGCGCTTGCTTACATCAAAGCGCAAATCACATCGTCGGACGAGGAGTTGTTGGGGATTACGAGGTCGCTGCGGGCGCCAGCTGCTAAGCGGACGAAAGCGTCGATTGAAAAGGATGAAAAGGAAGCGGCGGAGCTGCTACAGAGTTACGAGCCAATAGGTCATTACCTGGATGTCAAAGAGTGGTGGGGGCGTGGTCAGGAAGCAGCAGGTAGTGCAGAGAAGAGCAGGAAAAGGCAGGAGTGGCTACCGAGCCAGTATGCGTCGTCTCGCAGTGGGCCTACGGTGAGGCCAGACAGGTGGTAAGATGTCGTGCATGTATAGTCGCCACTAGCGGCTGTTTTTTCTTTCTTTTGATCTATATTTTCTTCTTCTTTTGTATATGACTTGTTGTATGATATGGTCACGAGCTTGATATGTAAGGAAAATTGGAAGGATAGGTGCATGGATCGGGGGTTGGGTCGGGGAGGGGGAGTGGGTGGGGTCTCGTCATGCATTTACAAGGCGCATAAACTACCTTTTAATGAAGGCGCTAGCAACGTGTTGGCAAGGCGGAGTATTTGTTGTTTGTTTATTTGTTTGCGCAGATAACGCGGTGATGATGATGAAGAAGAGTGACGACCAGATTGTTTGACCGCTCATGGCTGCGAGGATAGGGCCTGGTGACACGTGGGCGCAATGTCATGTGAGGTGTGGGAGAGGTGTGGGATGTGTGGGAGGTGTGGGATGGAATGGCATGTCGGAGCAATCATTTCACCGACGGCAGACCATGGGATGATCCCACGCAGTGACCAACAATTGCATGGCTGGTATTTATCGCGCAGCCCGGAAACATGGGATCTGGATTACGAAAAGTGCACTATGCTTACACCATACTATGTTGTAGTAGTACCACAGCAGACTAGGCGTACATGTTACCGTAGTAGTATTGTTGAGGCTGAGGCAGTGCGTGGCAAGCAGCCAGACGGAGCAAAGAAGAGAGGCTATTCTTCTCGGTAGATTTGTCTAGAAGGGCCGGCATCCGTGGCGTGCCGATGCGATTGGGGGGTGCAGGGTCCCCTTTTCTAGCCCTTCAATGCATCTGCATCACGCTGCTGCCGGGCAAATTACGGGTGAAAGAGGCTCAACCTTAGCCTTGCATCGCTGGCTACATGGCGGTACACGGCGGTACATGTCCAGCTTGTTGTGTGTTGTTTGCAAAAAGCAGAAAACACACAGTGTTTGCACTGCAGACAAAAGGCCAGGGGGTTAGCTGAAATGCAGGCCTGGGCCTGCGACATGAAAGCGGTTAGAAGCAGAGCATTCGAGGTCCATGCTCCCCCGCAACCCCAAGTTTCTTGGGCGGTGCATTTCTATTTTTCCATTTTCTTGTTCCGCCATGTACCCCTGCGCCCCCATTTTAACCCCCTGGCACGGATCGCTCACCGCCCACTTTTGCCCCTAAAGTTTCTGCTCGCCGCCTTGCCGGCCTCGCCTCCTTTACCTTTTTTCGCCCCGTCCGTCCCCTTCACAGACCCACTGCAATCCTCGTTTTGTTGGGGTCCCACTTTCTTTATATAAACGTTTTTGCTCACCACCTTTTTGGTCCGTCACAGTCACTTCAAACCCCCTCCTCCTCCTCCCCCCCCCCCACACACGCTAACAAGACAGCAGTAGTAGTAGTAGTTGGCCTGTCACGCGCTCGACTCGCCTCCAACTTTCACTTCTTCTCGAAGAAAACATTCACGACTCGACCCGTTCGCTCCTACTAGTCATACGTGGCCCTCGTTTATATATANCTCACCACCTTTTTGGTCCGTCACAGTCACTTCACCCCCCCCCCCCCCCCCCCCCCCCCCACACACAGTCACTCATCAATCGATAAGACAAAGTCGCTGTACTTTTGTTCAAACGACTCGCCTCCAACTTTCACTTCTTCTCGAAGAAAACATTCACGACTCGACCCGTTCGCTCCTACTAGTCATACGTGGCCCTCGTTTATATATATAAACACTCGCTCTTCTACACTTCTACACCACTACCACCAAAACCAACAAAACAACCCCTCCCCAAAACAAATCCAATCATGTTCGCCCGCATTGCCATCCGCGCCCCTGCCTTCGCAGCCAAGCGCGTCACTCCCACCGCCATGCGCTTCAACTCCTCCAGCTCCTCCAGCAGCGCCGCGCGCATGATGGAAATGGCCGCCCAAGCCGAGCGACCCAGTACGCCATCCCTCTCACTCCTCAACTGCCACTTTGTCATCTTTTTCTAACTCGCTCCCCCCCCCCCAAACAGACGCCACCGAAGCCGCCGTCCCCGTCATGTGGGCCCTCTGCGGCGCCCTCACCTTCGCCGCCTGGAACCGCGTTAGCGAGCGCAATCCCACCCACGAGGTTGAGAAGCTGCTTATTGTTTAAGCATGGCTACGACGAAATAATGACGACATTCTATTACTACTTCTACTTCTACGATACCCCCGCCCACCCGACATACCATACCTTACTACCGGCCTTTTTGTCGTCACACATTCACCCATACACTTCTTCTACTTTCTTCCTCGACTTAAATGGACGTCTGTCTTTTCTTCCTCTTTAACTTGTAAACTCACCTTTCTATTCTCTCTCTTGGTCTGCATCTCACCTTTTTTTTTCTGTGAGCAATGGAGGGGAATAGAAATTAGACGGTTCGATATGTGGTAGAGCAATTCTTTTTGGAGGGCTGCTTTGCTTGCTGTGTGGTCAGGATTTTTCTTTCTTCTTTTCTTCCTTCTTGTGCGAGTAGATAAGATGGTCTTACTCTCATTTTGGTTAATTGAAAAAAAAATTCGTTACTGGACTCTCTATACTATGACTCTGTGTAAAATCTTTTTTCCCCCTCATATGTGTATATTCTACTGACCATGTCGAATCGCATACATACATTTACACCTCGTTGTTCCATTCCCCATATCCAATATATATATATATATAAATATGTATGCAAGGAAAAAAAAACTACCATCGAGTACACCACTTCTCTTCCATACAACCCTCCATCAGTCCCCCCCCCCAAAAAAAGCCAGCAACGCAAAAAAAAGAAAATAAGCCAAGGGAGAAAATCAAACATGCTACTATGCCAGCATTCTAAATTACATTCTCATAAAGATATATATATAATAAAAAAAGACACCCCTGCCACGACCTCTCCATTCAAATCATTCAACAAGACCGCATGCTTGTAACGAATGTAAACAAAAAGAAGAAGAAAAAAAGTCTCCCTCCCTTTTAACCATCATTAAATTGCCTTTCTCTTCCCCACTCACAAAACCTCATCATCTTTAAACACCCCCCTTTCTCGTCACCATTAAATACCCTTTATTCCTCCACAAAACCCAAACCTATTCATTCCCATCATCATCAAATCCCCCCCATTCATATATGCCCCCGCTCAGAGGTTCAAAATATCATTGTTTCCCACTCTTCCGTTGCTTAACCCTCGACCCAATCGAATCCTGCTCCACCTTGACCGGATTCGGCTGCGCAGGCGTCACAGGCGCCATCTGCTCCACCTTCTCCATTTGCGTCTTCGCTTCCTTCTCTTTCGTCGCATCCTCCTTGATCAACTTCTCCTTTGCCTCCGTCTCCTCATCCGTCGGCTCATACTCGCTGCGATCATCCTCCATATCCTTGTATACCGCAAACCTATACGCGATCCTACAGATCAAGAAGCCCCAGAACAAGTTGACGGCTTGCAGGGAAGCGAGGAGGCCGAGCGTGATGTATTGGCTGATCCAGCACTTGTATTGTTGCGTTTCCCAGTTGAGTTCAAACGGGCCGACGGTTTTGAACGTCGTGAGGATGGACCAGATGATTTTGAGGTTGATGTAGTGGCGGGCGTAGCCCCAGACCATCATGAAGACGAAGAAGTAGGGGGTTACGATGGGTGAGTCGATGTAGTTTAGGCATTTGGATGACTGCAATTTTTTTAAAAAATATTAGTATGTCGACTCTGTACCTTGAATGATGAGCATGGCAGGACTTACGGCAAGGAAAAAGTCGGATACGTCGTGGGTAATGTATACGGCGATGCCCATGTAGGTAAAGTGGAAGCGGTAGCTGAGCCAGATCAAGCTGACGGTGATGATGTGGTGCGCCACTAGCTCCTTGAAGTCCTTTCTCGGCTTCTCGAGCATCAGCATGAGCACAATGGCTTGCTGGGCCCAGTAACTAGCTTGCAGCAGATAGTACGCCTTGACAACTGCCTCATGGGTTCGGTGGGGGAATCCCTCGTACATGCCATTGGTATTAAAGTACCACACGGGAGTACGTGACATGATCCATATGCCAAACGGACCGTAGATACCAAAGTAAAGAGCAGTATATGCTTGTTCCATGAAACGCGACTGCTTATCCCTGTTGCGGATGCCAAAATGCAGGGCAATGGGGCGGATCAGACGTTGCATACAAAACTCGCGGGTAAAGCTCAGGACGATGGTGTAGAAGCCTACGAAAGCAAAATCCCGTCCGCCTTTGCCATAGTGTAGGGGCGCATTGGGGTCGGCTCGCACGTGGGCGGGGATGAGGGGGTCATCGCGTGCGAGTGGGTAGGACAGGAAAAGACAGGCCGACAGCGGGTTGGACGAGTAAGGGTAGACGAGGTATAGCGATATGACGGTAAGGGTGAGGACGAGGGGGAGCAGCCATGTGTGCCGAATGCACATTCGCTTTGCCTTTGAGAGGTATCGACGTGTCGTCTTACGTTTTGAGCGGCGTCCCGACTTGTCTGATTTCTGACAGGCTGGTCAGTTACATGTGGGGTCTCACCCTCATGGCAATTCTGTGCAGGAAAAAGAGGGTGCAACACATACCGAATCCATGGTCACTGGGCTGTGCAGCGGAGGGGTGACAGATCGATATGTGGCCAGGGACGGGACGTCAACATCGCCTGGGACGTCGGCGCCGAGGGCACTTGATTTCCTTCGGCGCCTGGGTGCGCTTTGGGGGGCAGGATTGTGCGGCAGTCCGCCATTCAGCGGTGGAAACGGTTCCGTCATTGTGAAGCCGAAGCAATAAGCAATTGCGGGAGGGCAGCGCACAAGGGTTTGCGGGAAGGATTGGGTAAGCCTGTGATTATATATGCGAATGTAAGTACCGTCCAAACAACCACGTGCAAAGGAGACCAAGGCCGAGAGATGCTGGACGCAAGGAATGTGTGGCCGCCAGCAATCCACCGGAGTTATTATTGTGGGCACAGACGATGCAAGCAAAAGTTGTCGTCGGGCGACCGACTCCTTTCCCTGCCAATTTCCCGGCCAAGAGTGGGGCTCGTGACACTCCCGCGCAATACGAAGCATCTGCGCCGATCGACTACTACTACGCGATGTCGCCCAGGGGTAAGGTTATGTCAGCATCACCATCGCCAAAGCCAAACCCTCCCTCGACAACTGCCATGTCTGTAGCCGAAACACAATCCCGAGTAGTTGACCTTCCTGGGTCTGGACACGATTCCCGGATCCGAGGCCCGGCCCGCAAACAGTCCCGCCCGTCTACCACGCGCCATGCAAGGGACTTGTAGGTAAAACTAGCCAAAGCAAAAAGCCATGACCAGGATAATGAGTATTACTATCAGACAAAAAATCAAGGACATCGTAGACTAGCCCGATACAAAAATGCAGCCATGGCCAGTTTACCACTCTCGCTATGCATACCTAAACAGTCATCAGGCCTACCTCGCTACCACGTATCGTACAATATGAATACGCTGCCTGCCACCCAACGCTCACTCCGACGGTCTAAGCCGGCTTCCAGGATGCACATTAGTCTTGTGCTGCGGTATCCCCACACCGTGTACAGGTGTACCATTAGCCTTAACCTGCTCTAGTTTCTTCCCAGCAATCTCTAGACTTCTCTTCACTTCAGTTGTGGGCGTGCCAACACTGCTGGCAGTCATGGTACTATCCATGCTTCCCTTCCGCGAGAGAACACCATCCTGTCGCAACAAGCCCTTGATGCCGCCAGCCTTGCGAGCTGGTAGTTCGCCTTTGCCGGCTGTAGCAACATACAGCAGATACTTGAGGTTGGGCAATGTGTGGCGAATGTCCAGCGGCCGCAGTCCCAGCGAGTTTGAGAGAATCTCAATGTTCTTGTTGAGAAGGAACACACCATACTCAAACCGGTACCTCACGACATTCTTCATGTAGAGAGGATATGTACGTTGGTGGTTTTGTTGATTTTGTGAAATAGCCAGTGGATCATCAATTGTCGACGTTGACCCGTGTAACGTTACCGGATACGGCAGCATGACGGACAGATAGGGCGAGAGCAAACTGACAACTTGGGCCACATAGCCCAATGCTGCAGAAGTGACGTCTTCCTTTGCATCCTCGAAAATGGAGTTTGGCAGCAGAAGTCCCCGTATTGTAAACGTCAGAGCTTTGCCAGGCACAGGCTCAATTGGGAATATCCTGAGCAAGTCTTCGCACACCCTTCGTCGTTGGCCCGTGATATCCTCTAGAGTCTTTTCCAAAAGCTCTTTAGTTTGGTCGATATTGGCTCTTTGTTCAGAAATTTCACTCTCCGCTTTCAATTGCTGTTCGCGCCCAGCCTTCATCTTCTCTCGTCGGTCCAGGATGTTGGCTTGCAGCTCGTCACGCTTTCTTCGCGCAGCTGCAACACGTCGCTTTTCGGCCGTCACCGCGGCCTGCACTGTCCGTAAGCTTTCTTCCGTCTCGGCTACCGATTCTACTGTGAATATATCCTCTTTGTTTGCTACGAGTATACCCTCAATCTCGTCGGCAATCCGGTCTCGCGTAGTCAGTGCGTCTTGTATGCAGTCGTCGAGCGTCGAGAGTCTCATGAGAGCGTCGTAAGAGGAAGATGGAAGCACTCGACCATCGGGATTCTCTTTGGGCGGTGCAAGAAGTTCTGGTCGCATCTTTTGCTGCACTGGTAGATCTGTGAAGCTAGTGTAGATGCCGTCCGTCATATAGAAGAGCACACAGTTTTGTGGAAGAGGGTGCTTGAAGCCTTCAAGGGTCTTGCCAATGAACTGGAGCGACCGGAACTGTACAGTATAGTCGAGCAGGTATTGCCAATTCTGCATCGTCTCGCTTTTGGCCCACACCCTGATTGTGAGCGTGTCCAGTCGCGTGACGCCCGGTCCACAGGGGCCAAGATCGAAAAACTTGAAGTTTGGGTTCATAGCCTTGTCGACGACTTCGGAAATGTAAATTGGATCCGTCTGGGCCTCGACGTGCAGGGAAAAGAAGGTGTCGGCCATGCGCCCGGCGGTGATGTCTTCCAGCTTCTTCTGACGAGTCAATGGGCTCGCATTGGTCCACTCCATTGTAGAGCGTCTACGCAGGCCCCTCCCGGTCGCAGGCCTATTTGCTTTCTGGGACGTCGTGGGGTCGCGCAAGCCATTGCTGCGCCGCACGGCA